TTTTAAACTACAGCGTGAAATTTTGCATGAAAAATGTAGGTTTTCTCGATTCTCGTCTATCTCCCCCCTCAGCTGATATTTATGACTTTAAAGAAAGCTTTTTTCGCATCAGTAGGCTTGTAACAGCGCAACGAATTAAAATGGTTGCTTGTCGAAAGGAAATCTTTTCGATAGCATTAAACAAAGCAGGGCTTATGGTTCGAGAGATGCGCGAGATGGCTTTCATAGGAACTCTTAAAATCATTGAGCGAAGATTGGAAGAATGTTGAAGCAGCGATCGGCCAAATGAAGTTTAGAAGTTCTTAAGTATATTTTTGCGATGATGTGATGTTTAGAATATTGCTTTTAAATAAACGACAGACTCCTTCTGAGTATCATAGCTCGTTTCGGAGTATTTTTCGATACTGTCAACGCTCACAAATTCACATGCTTTCTTAGTATGTCAAAGGAATGCTTCCCGCTCGACGGTTTACGAATGGGAAACAAATAAGGAAGGGCAACTGCTATCACAAAATGTAGCGACAGCTTCTAAACGGAGTGTCGTTGATCGTCCCGTACTGCTGGGTAACCTGGGTTGTCAAAATCACCTACGAACTGATCGGCCCCAGCTTAATTTATTAATTCTCTAAAACGTTTTCTTAATCAACTTTGAACAAAATTTTTCTCAGTTCACTTACTGCTCTGCTATATTGTACAACAACAATAGATCAGATTCTGGTTAGGTAAGTTTTATAAAAGCTTTTTCTTACTAACAAGGGTGTCCTACTCTTTAAAAGGATCATAATTATGTTTATTTATATAACTATTAGAGTACACTTATATATGTCATTATATAGGTTCTTCTATATTTAAGTGCAAGAATTACACACCATTTCAACTTTAAAAGGTTCCTTTCCTCTATTTGACTAACAACTACTGTTAACAATACTTCGCTCGGACAGCGTACGCTTTCCAGTTCAACAAAGGATCTTTATCAACGGTCGCATGATGTGTTATACGCAACTGAACGAAGACGTTTCTTGTTAATCGCACCGAGGCATCTGTCCTCGTCAGATCCTACATGTTATTTCCAACATAGTCCCAGCAGCGTCAGCTAACAATACGAAGAACATGCGGTGCTATATAGCGGCAGCAACAAACGAGCACGCTTCATTGCGCAGCCTAACGAGACTCACCGACAGGAAAGCTCGAAGGCCAAGGATAAGGAAGAAACAATAGACGAGATGATAGAACGCGTTTTGCAAAATCAGCCAACCGATCGACCGACCGATTTTCCCCAGTGCCCCATGCCCGACTCGTTTCCAATGCTACGAAGTAAACTCTAACAATATTACGAAGTTTTTTGTTGGCTCTTAACCGTTGTTTGGCTTTAATCCCCACGTAGTCTTCGGGGTTACGCGGGTGAAGTGTGTACTGTCGGGCGCGTGCGAAACCTCCGAACCATAACGAACTGATGTAGAGCAAAAAATTGTTGAAAGGTGTTGGCTGTAGTGAGGCAACGATACTTTATTAATAGTAGGGGATTTCTATACGCTTTTTCCTTGAGAGATGTGCGCTAAATTACAGCAACTAGTACAACTGTGGCGGTATGGAGCTCTGTTTGCGTTGTATTTCAGAGTGATTGGACGTTGACCGATACCAGGCCGCGATGCTAGAGTGAACTCAGTCAGAAGCTATCAAGTATTAATTAATGACTCCTCTAGATAGTATATGGCGTACTGTTTAAATTAGAATAAAATTTATGTCGTCTTTTTTGTATGCGCGGACAAGAACCGCCCTTATAAACCTGTCTGCTCAAGTATCTGCTGTCTGTTTAGAGATGTTTTGAACTCGAAGCTTAAAGCGCTAGCAGCTCACTTTTAGAATTTCCTTCTCTAAGTTCTTAATCTTTATATTTTTTTTTGTATAGAATTATTGTGAGTGGCACGATATCTTGGCTCGTTAACGTTTTCATGTTGCGAACATGCTACACAGTATATTTCATTCTAATGAATACATCCTGCGTTTGGTAGGTGTTTAGGTGCGATTTTGTGCCAGTTTCCACTTCTGTCGAAAGACGGACGGCGTTCTGCTAGTTCGCAGTTTCGCCACGGGTTATGCAATAACCTACTGTATTTCTTGGGTAAAAGTCTCACCCTTACAATGAAGGTGGGGCAACGTGATTCCGCTAGTTTTTGCTCTTTAGGTTGTAAACACACATAAGAAGTATAGTATCTAGAAAAAAATGAAAATGAGTTGCGAATAACCCTTTCCGCGACCTTCCTTTGAAAGACCTTTGTACCAGCAGAGAAAATTTTTTATATACGCAAAAAACTAAAGACAGCCGGATGACTCGAGACGATTTTAAATAGAATCGAAAATAAGGCGTTTTGACCTTTGCTTCGCTCAATAATATACTAGCTGTTTGAGTCTCGTGATATAAGAATTGAACCTAAGGTCCTTGGGAATTATGTACTATGACCCTTCCTAAAAAAGGACAAAAAAATAAACGTCAAATCGAGATATCAGTACCGTTAATTAGACATTAAGTGTGAGCTTTCCGCTTTATTTATCGATCTCATTTTGTTGTATATTTTACGCGTTCCATAATCTTCGGAAGAACTATTCAAGAGCCGTATGAATACTGGCGACCGCTCAGATCCTTGCTTTTGGCAAGCTAAGGCAGTTCTCAGTCTCGACGGGTGTTTTTCCTACTATGACGAGTTTGAAATTTTTGTTTTTGGGAAGAACTAACTGTGTCCCAATGCCGCTCCAAAACAATAAACAAACAATAAACAAAATAATGATTTCCTTAATTTTTTTTTAAAAGAAAAGCGTAGACTAAAATTTGGGGCTGTTGTCATAGATTCGCACTATTAAACATTTGTAAAAACCTGAGCTTGTATACCGCAGAGCGCACAATTACATTAATACAGCTTTTAACCTCTACGGCATGTTTGTAGACCTATTTACCTCTCATCATACATATCCATGAAAATACAGACACGCTCCAAAAAACGTATCCCTGTTATATCGTTATAACCCTATTACGTGAAAAAATAAATTGAGGCGAAGAATGCAAGCACGATTTAATAAGTAAAAGAGCGTCACCTCGTAATTCTAAACCACTTCCCACAGATCTATTGAGGTATATCTCATCCCTGAAGAGAAGACGCCTAAATGAATTTTTCGGAGAACCAAAGTTTGCAAATATGACTCCGTTTACCAGCCTATACATCTTCCTATTAATTTGTTGTATGTATACCTTTTAATTATTGCGTGTGGAGTTTTTTCTTCTAGAAAAACAATGGATTTTTTTAATGAAAAGTTTCCAGTTTGAAATCCTGAGTACGACGAAGAGTTTAAGTTAAGCCTAAATATGAACTCTTATAAATATTAACTTCGCCTGCATTTTATATTGTTGGGTACTGACACAGCATTATTTTACTGTTTCTCTGAAATAAGTCGCAGTATCTTCGTAAACTCATTGTCCGCTTTAACTGAGACATTAAATTTTTATCGGATTGCAACAATTCCTTCGTAGCTTCGTGCCGATTATCAGAAACGTCAACAGAAGTTGCTGATGTTGCCACAAAGAATACAATTTTGTCTAGAAGGAGTATTTCAGCTACGTTTTAAAACAGCTTACGTTCTAATCTTTTTGTAATTTCAATCAGATGTGATAAAATTCACAATAGTCCATTTTGTTCCATATGAGCTTATACTAAGGCTGACTTCACGACGGCTCTTCATTGTGAGCCTTTAGCAATATATCCGGCCTGTTAAAACTACCAACACTCACACAAAATGATTCAGCCGGATTCATATTTTAGCTCCGATGCTTTTATAACTGATGCATGCCTGATGCATGTTCGTGCAAGACACATTGCTAACTTCTGAAATACTTTGATAATTGAATTTGCAAGAAGCGCGAACTTCTCGTTTTTTTTAAATTATTTTTATTATTATTTATTATTTATTTTTTTTTATTTATTTATTTAAACAACAATAGCCTCCTTTATTCAGACACTTGTGTAGGACGTGTCGTTGGCTAGACCTGCAACAGCACCAAAGGGGGGAGGGGTAACTTTGAACAACGGAATTACGCGTATGTGTACATATCTGTCAAATAACAAATACGAAACTGAGCATGTATCATGATTCAAATGTTTGCGCTATAGTTAACTGAAAGATTGCTTTTTTCAGGCCGAATGTCTGCCATGTAGATTGCATGGTAGGGCCGCGTCACGTTCCAGGATATATCTGTACAACTTAGTAGAAAAGTTCAAAATGACAGAGTTGCCGCAAGACTTCGACATTCACGGTATAATGGAAGAAACCACTAATGCAATGCACATGGGCACATTAAGAACGCCAAACACCTTCATTTCTCGTCATGTTGAAAGGCTTTCTGTGGCCGACTAGGCAGGTTTGATTTAAGCAACGGACGACTCTAACAAGAAAATGGTACCTGCTAATACTCATTCGAACAAGAGGAGTTATAAGTAAAAAAAAGAAATTTGGTAAACACAGCGTACTCGTGCTATGACTGCATTGTTCATACGACCTGACGTCACTATACCTGTTTTCTGCTGTTTTTTTAAAGCAAATTTCATAAAACTTGATTATTTTTAGTCGAAATATCTTGACGAAGCGTGTACTCGTCAAGACATTTCGACAATAACATTAAAACTTTTGAAAAATTTATCGAGGTTAAGATAGCGTATTTTGTCTTGTAACAAACAGTCACCTGAGTGATGCAATAATTACAATATAAGGGACACCACTGCCATTTCTAATATCATCCTCATACTGCCACTATCATTGTCCGAAATTGGTACATAGGGAACCTGATCCTGTACTAGGATGTTTTAAAAGCTTCCAAGCAATCTCTTGCCCACTATGCAATAGCGTGCAGTGTGTAAGAACATAGTTAAGAAAACTTAACATTGTAAATATTGCAAGGGTTTCTTAGAAAACTATAAGAACTTATAATAAAGACATGGAGTGACCACACTCACTTGATATTGATGCTGAGAGATCGAACTTGATAGTTCTCTTCAAAGGATGGAAACAGTTGTGCGATTCGATTCACCTTGGAAGTCCCACATAAACATAGCGTGGTTCCTTTACCAAGATAACAACAAGATAACGTTGTCTGTCAACATATGGCTTAGGAACGATTCCAATGTCGCGTTCCCGATAAACTCCTGTTAAGTCAAATCAAATTCACCTTTTAATGCGCCAAGGGACAAAGATTATCATAAGAATGTAAAGCATGGATCACAGGCAAGTCGTCGAGCATGCTATAAGTGCGATACAAAAATAGTTTGGGTTCACATAACCAATAGCAAATATGCATCTATGTACCCATGATGGTGCAGTGAACATGTGTTGGCCTACCCAACTTAATGACGTTCGATAATTTAGGTTAGCAACCGATATACTTCGCTTCACACTAGAAGCCAATCTTCTGTAGCAACGTTTAACACCAATACCAGATGTAAAACTCTAAACGTTTGTTTAAAGATGTATCTGATCGCTTCTGTTATGTATTATCAATTAAGTTGAATGATGGCTGTTCATCTTTGGCAAACATATATTTAATGTAGGCAATCCGGATAGAGGCTTCACGTGTTAGAATAAATCGGAGGGTAAACTTAGAAGGACGACATAAAGACCACATTTAACTTACGATGTAAAAATACTCCGTGCTTTCTTACTACTTACAACAGTTAGTTGATTTAACATTTACTTATGCCTCAGGAGATTCGACTTCAAAATATTTAGTAATTTTTTCCTACTAAAAAGAACACCTTAGATTAAGTAATGTTAACAAAAGGATATGCTTATTTAATACTTTAACTTGCACTGCATTCGCTTATCCAGAGTAAAGTCTCTAAAGTAATGCCTTACAACGATTTTCAAGCTCTTGCTTGAATCTTTACTAATCTATACGCATATATACTATACGTATATAGACAGAAAAATGAAAAAATCAGTAAAAACGCTACACTATAGAGAACTGTGATACCTTTTATTTTATTTACAAGTCTTCGCCTAAACACCTTCTTTAACTGCCTTTTCTGAGCAGCGCCACCTTCACGGCCGTTCGGATGTCATCCAGGAAATGTCCCCCAAACGCCCCTCTAAGTAGCGTTCGAAACGTTTCTGCTACAGGTGTCAAAGGACCATCGTTCTTTGCAAGTAACATTGCAACACATCGTGGCCTTAGTGAGCTAGCATTGCCTTCAAAAAGAGCCACCCGTGGGTACACCGTCACAACATCACGTTGGTAGAGCATCAAGGATGCGACGAGTCGACCAAGTGAAGTCTCAAGAGGACCAAGTAGCAACATGTGACTCAGCTCGAGACACTGCAAATTTGTCGAAAATTATTACAACGCATCCAACTACCGGTATATACATACCATTTTACTTCTAGAGAAACTTTGTAACTGGCACGTTTGAAGTTTACTTTTGCTGAATTATGTAACAAAGATATACTATACCTGTATCGCAGTATCTAAACTGTGTATCTTATTTACACATTGATGTTTGCAGATCAGTGCGTGAAGAACTGTCCTAGCGGCAACTTCAGTTATGCCTGGCAGTTTCACCGAATTTGTGTGACTCTCGGCAAAACCGTCAGAACGCAACATTGCTGCGAAGTAAGTCGATTCTTGCATCTAAAATCATTGGTAAAGTTTCGCGTTCAGGTTCATCATATGTTAAATCTCTTATTAAGGGTACGCTTACGTAGGTAACTGGAAGACCCAGTTCACTCTAGTCAACGATATTGCCGTTCTTTAGACTACGCAAACAACACATATCGTTATTTATAGAATCTATTTTGTTGTCGCAAAAAAATGCACAATAATGTACTGTGGAATGGATCACGCAAATAAATATCAGGAATATGTTATTCTCCTTACTTACCAGTCGTTTTCTATCAGCTGTTAACATCTTTCCATCATCGAGTTCAAGCGTAACACCTTCAGGGGAATCGGATTCTAAGAGGATTTCCTTAGCGTCACAAACTTTATCGTCAAGTTCAGGTAAGTTCACTTTATCTAACACCAGGCGACAGGTCTTGCCAATTTCCCTTAGAGCACCAACTGCTAACCGAAATCGCGCCTCGATGTCAGCAACGATGCCATCGGACGTTTTTTTGGTTCCACTTTTTAATGTTTCGATTTCCTCTTTATCTTGAGCATTCCCGCCATTTTTAGCCAGTTTTATTAAAAAGCCGTTTTTTCTATCCAACGCTTCAGTGCTAACCTGAAGTATATCGAAGAGAAGGTCCATACCCCCACAATCGAATAACAATGTATACAGTGTTTGGGCATCTCGCACGACAAATGTTAAAGCTAAAGCAGTTTGTTCCTTACACCTCGCAGGGGTATCCCCTACTAAATGACTGGCAATCTCTCCAGAACCCATTCCACCCTCGGCTATTGAAGACAGCTTCTGTAACATCTGGTCCCGAACTGTCGACAGGTAGAAACATCTCGAACAGTCATTCTTCCGGTGTGCTTTCTGCAGGATAGTCAACGTCTCAAGGATACAGTCTTCCTGCAGAAAGTCCCGAAAGAACATCGCATGTTGAACAATCATAACAGCAACCTTCTCAGCACGACTCAGTGATGTCGGCACCGAGGCAATATATCGAAGGAGAGCGGTACACACTCGGGTGGCTTGTTCTGCTAGCAGATCAATACTTCGCGGAAAGGTGTAAATTTCCAGGATACGCAGAACATGATCCACCTGAAAAAAGGGTTTAAAGTAAAACATTATCCGTAGGAGGATGTTCAGGTTTAATACTTCAGTAAGCAAGTCTTAGATTTTTTTAAAACTCAATATGACGCTTTTAAGTATAGTGAGGAGGGGGATGATACGTGAGTTGTTGAGTTCGATGAATGTTCGTAGTTGAGTCTTTCAAGCGGTGCCCTCGCGAAAAGTTTACTGTCGAAACGCTTTCTTGACACGAAAAACTCACGAGTAAGGTTTTTGGACCAAAACAAACTTCGCAGGTCTTTACAAAAGTAAGTTGGGTCTAAAGATCCAGTCAATATTCTCTCTGGCAATTACACGAGGAACGTGAGCTGAACCACTTTTGCGAAATGCATTATCGCGATTTTTTGCCTAGCTCACCTTAACTTCTCACCCTTATATGTCGAGGAAACCTAAGGTTTCGTCCATAGTAGATATCCTGCACACCTTGAGCGTAGTGTGCATGTATTAAAAGAAAGGCATTCTAGTGTCTCTGCCGTCCGGAGTATTAGCTCCCTGTGTCGTCGAAACAGCGCATGTATCGACTTTATTTATAATAACGATTTTTTAAAGCACAATCGTTACGATGGAATCGTACAATGCGCGGCAAACATACTGCATCTTTAAAGATTTTTTTGCACACTCCTGTGCAAAGCTTGAAAATAAATGATTTTATATAGATCTGGACCCCCGCCTCTCAGGCACCCAAAAAAAGAAGTCGTTAACACGACGACTGAGGGTACCTTAATATCCGCACGCTTCTATTTCTTGCCGATCATAACAATTGAGTCTGTTATATTATACTATCTAGCGTATGCTGCGCAAAGACTTTGCCATGCAGTCGTATAAAACTTAGACGCTTCAGATCTACCGACTACGGGATTACTCATCGAAAAATAGTTGCAACGCGCTTTACTTTTTTTTAATCAAAAATCATTTCAGCTGACCCATATCGACAAGCGAAACTGCTGCATATGAGCATAGGAGAATTTTGCGCTATTTATGAACAACCACTTTATTAAAATAATTGGAGGATTTCGGTGTACTCGGATTGTTTTTTCTTCAATGAATGGTTCATTGTTTTCGATACAGATACATGTTGGCCGCAAAGATACTGCATGAAAAGCTTCGTGGCCATGCAATTTCCTGCGGGGCACCGTATCATGAGCTTAACACCGCCCAACTTTTTTCAGGTGATGCTTAAATCATGCTTTCAGGTGATGAAAAAGCAAAGTCTATATAGCTAAGCCCTTCGTAATTGAAAAGCTAAATTAGTGTTCCCGACAAGAAATCTTAATAATTACACCCAATTCATGTAACAAAGATTTTGAAAAACATATGTTCTTTTTTGAGCTTGTAAAGGTATCCTTGAAACGGTAACCTAATTAAAAAAACAGCAAACATCGCCATTCGTAATACAATCTTGATATTCTGCCTATCCGATAAACTAGTATTACTAACTACAGTTCGAAATTAATATATTAACAATAAATAACCTTTTCCACATAGTTTTCCAAACATCCCTTCTATATATATGGGGCCGTGTATTACTTTGGAAACTTATGCTTTCTATACCATTATATCTTTAGGTGCAACAATTTCGCTTTTCCCTGCTTCACTGATTCTCCGTTTACATGCAGCAGTTTTTCCAATCGTTCTCTCATTTTTGTCAGTATTCCTGTAAAGAAAATGCATGTTACAAATTGTATGTCTTCTAGACGCATGTGAGCTGCGAGATCGATGAATGTATCGAGTTCGTATGCGGTTTAATGGTATTAGAAAAATACCTATTTTATATTATACACAATTCCAAATCGATTTTGAAATGGATCTTTTAGCGTCATAACTTTTGGCGGTAGCTTTCTGTGATCTTATTGGAAAAAAAATTCGTTTACAAACCCCAACTACTTCAAAGATAGTGTTCTCGCATCGGGACATCCTGCATTTGTCAGATTGAATATTAATCGATACGTAATAGATCTCTTAAATAATTTAGACAATTTGCAACGGCGATAATCGAGAATGAAAATGCAAGTATATCGAGCGCCAACAATAGATTGACGACTTCTTACAGGTCAATCGTTTATCAACAAAGCGATACTGAGATCTTTACTACCATTATCACTTATCTTATGTTTAACTAAAACAGGACCCCACATAAAAACCCATTTTAAACATTATTACAGCTTCATAATTTTATTTTCTGTACCTTTTTTTTTCGCTTTCCTGACGGCGTATTTGACGACGATGCAATTTTTCACTGGCAATTCTAAAACAGTTGAAACTCTTCTCCTCCCCGTCATCTTCGTGGTCGGACGATGAACTTCCAGGTGTGCTACCATAAACTGGTGAATAGGCCGCGTCCTATAGTTTTAGGCGGCAAGATATATTGCTTTCTTATGGAAACATTTTTATAGTGTAAATATAATAAAGTATATACTGCAAAAATCGTTTTTGTGCCAGACGCTTTCCCTTCTGTAACTTCCATCATCTTATTATACTATATATATATATATACTTTTGTAATTTTGTAGGCTTTATATGTAATACATTTCTTTATTGACAGGGAGTATGTTAGTGTTTTATATTGTGTCTAAGTAGAAAATGCAAATCGTTATGTCGTACTTGTGACCTTTAAATCATTAGATCAATTCACCTAAAGCGCATTACACCATCTGTAGTACGATCAACTTTCTCAACAACTTCAAACGAAGAGCCGATTGAAGTCAAACATGTAAAATGCAATTATTCCCTACTTTTCATGTTAATACCTAATTATTTTAATTTTATTTTCTCTTAGCGTCTATCCCACAACCGCTTTTTAGATTAAAGCCATTTACAAGTTCCACCATTGACGAAGCCAGTAAAATTTAGAGCTAGAAACGCGTTCATTATACCCCGCCTCGGTCTTATATAAATTTGTTATAATCATCCTATAAAAATTCTATTTACTGATTTCGTACCTGGCTTGCGTCATCTTCCGTTCGACATGGACTCGTGCTTCTACTACCTAAACTTAGAGGACTTCCCGTAGAACTATGCTCGTCAAAATCAGGCATGGCTGGTGGGCGCGACGAGCGAGGTGACATCCCAGAGTAACCTGGCAGGCCCACGTAATCGCTACGATAGTATATATATATAAGCGTCATAGAATATGGAACAACAAAGTTAGACACCTGTTTATAGGTAATCATCATAATAATAAACTATGACTTACTTTTACAGGCCATATTACTCAATTTTCAGAAAAGCATGTTTTATATTTGTTCCTTTTGTTACAAATAGTAGACAAAAATGTAATTTACATGATTTACTGTGTATAATGACCTTGTTAACTGATATCGGTGTCCTTCGAAAACCATCGAACTTATAAAAACATTCCTTCAGCCCTCTCAAGGCTTTCACGTGTTGTTACCTTTTAACTTTAAAGTATCTCCTAGCAAGTGATAGCATTTGTGAATAAGCAGTATTTATTTGATAAAAGTTTAAATCTTATTTGATAAGTATACCGCAAACGATTACATTACGATACTATATAATTTAACGGTTTAGTTACAACGACTGTGAACCGCACGTATGCGGTAGATTCTAACAAATTTTCAGGGATGCACATCTAAAGTAGAACGGCCATCAGCTGTCAGTCTCGGCCTGGCCACGACCCAAGCATTTTTGAAATCTTTGGACAAACAGACTGATATATCGGACTAACTTACCTGTACTCTTCATTAGCGCCAAGCTCGTAGTTGAAAGCAAGACTTCTAGCTTGCATGATTTCTAGATAACTAGGTGAATTTAAGCAAAATAGTTTCGGACGCTTTGTTTGAGATTCTTCGGTATTACACTCGTGGTCAGATCTGCAGGCAGAGTAAATAACAAAGAGTGGCTCCTCTAATGCTTGCTTAAGCTACGAGGAACTTATATCTCTAGGCGTACATAACAATCCAGACTTATTTATTTTATTCGGATTTACCAGATGTATTTAGTGCAATATATGTCTGTTGTGCATAATAAAGGGGATCAATGTGAACTGTCCCTCACCCGACCGAAGCTACTGTTTCCGTGTCCGTCGTACTCAGGATGCCCGTTTCATGTTCACCCGATTGTCCCGATAAACAGCTCGAGCGGTCTGAGAGTACTGTATTGATTGCACCGAGCACGGATTAAAACTACGTATTATGAAGAGAATTATGACATTCATAAAACAATCCGTGTCGCTTGTCGACTGACCGGCAGGCATTGTTTGAGCGAGAATTTTGCTTATGACAAAACCATTAAGAAGCTGTACTCAATATAGGTGAACAGACACTTACTTTCATGCTTATTGCTGACTGAACCAAGTGGCTTAGCGACAGCATCTTCTCCAGTTTCTCCATTATTACTTTCAGCGTCGATTTGGTGGTCTTGCGCGTTCTCCTTAGTGTACTTTTCCAAATAGGACACTAAGGCTTCGAGCAGGTGCAGTCGAACCAACTCCGCTAAAGCGGTGTCGTCATGTCTAAGCATAGCGTTGTAGAATGGATAACACAGGTATTATTGTTATTTGTCGTAAGTGAGATGTTTTGTCTTTACGATACATAGAAGGTTAGCCAAGCAACGTATCATCGAACTACATATTTTACAGTATGGAGTTTTTTTTTTTAAGTCCCAACTTCTAATTAACATAGTGGTACGATGAAATGCACTGTTCAAACTGGTTAAGTCATGCGGTGATTTAAAAGCCAGGTACCGAAATAGGGTTGTTCAGTGTGTCGCATTACGATTAGCACTAATTGATGGAATTATATTCATAATAATACGGAGATGAACAGAGTTTCCCGAGAAGTTTGATTTTTCTTGAGAAATAACTACTAAAACATATGTAGTAATCTTTGAAAGGTCTAAGTGGCCCAACTGAAGCTTGAATTATTTATTTACCTACCTATAGCTCATTAATGTATAGGTGGCATAAGTCCATAGCTTCTTTTTCTCAGGAGCGTTAAGAACAGCTACCAGTTGCGACAGGCCTCCAGAGTCCCTCACTCGTATCAAATTGTATGGCTCTTTACATAACCGACATAATGTGATGAACACCGCTTCCCACTCTAAAATTCAACGATAAAAGAAAACCGCTTAAGTTCCAATTATTCCGTGTTCCAAGAATCTATTGAGCCTCTTTGTGAAAAAATTGTAATTTCATTTTCACGTAAGTTTTACAGAAATTCACAATCAATTGATTCCTCATCAGCTTGCTTCGACGTTTGTTGATTAAACTCTTTACTTTATTTTAGTCTATGAACTCATCGCGGCACCTGATAGAGTTAAATGGATCCAATTAGAAGAAGCTGTTCTGAGGATTAAAAAAATTATTTACATAAGGATCACCTCAGCTTAGCGTACATGTTGTCCTAAACTTTTCATACGAGACCATTTTGCAAATATTGATAATATCATTAGGTATAATAATATGTAATATTTGACCATCCTATGTTCTCGAATATCTTAACATTGATCGCACAAACTGTAAAATATATTTGTAAATAAGTAGCTAACAAAGTTACAACAATACATCGAGATTAGAGTTTATGATAAAAGTTCCAAAGTTAATAAGTTTAATACATACTGCCGTCCGGTAGCTTCTTATTGGAATCTTCGGAATTGCTGGCTAATCTGGTAACAATTTTCACGATTATTCCCGAGCTTCCTACATCGACCAGCATTTCATCCAGCTGAGCGATATTCACCATCGTGAAAAGAGCACTATTCATAGAGCTACTCAAATCGACTAACATCGGAAATGCACCACTATCTTTCACCTACAAAAGTGCATGAAAAAAGAGGTATTTTGTTCACTGAATCCTCTTTTTTTGCTTTATAATAAATTGTTTTTGGTACGGTTTTGGTTTGGGTGGTACGGTGGTACGGTGCGGGCAAACATTCACAAGAAAAATCAAGACTTATTTTATATATATATAAAATTAACTGCTATACTCAGATGTAACAGCTTAGGGATAAAAGAAATTATTTTTGTTCGAATAATAAAACAACTTAATATCAAGATAGTTCCATATCCATCGATCGATGGATCCATGATACCTGCTTGGCCGTTATCAGTGTACATTTGTGAGTGAGTCTTTCAAGGGCCTCAGTGCATGGCTTTCTTAAAGGTTCAGCAACCATCAACAGAATCCGAGCGAGCGCAGCGACACCACCAAAAGAAGCGATACTTTCTCGGTACGCCGATGTGCCTCCAAGAACACGCAAGGCACGCATTGCGGTGGCCTACGCCAAACGCAGAAAAATTAAGTCAGAGGTCAATATTTAATAATATATTTATTAATTTTTAGTTTATTTAGTAATATATTAATACAATTAATACACAATAAGGCGGCATACTGCATCAACCGTACGGTCTTTGTACCTAATGACCTCTGCCTTCTAATAGTGGTATATTGGAGTTACAGTGTTACAAGATGAATTATATAAAGAATATGCTCTTAACAGAGCGTACTAGTATGTTTATCACAAAATTAACCATCGAGAAAGCATTTAATCATATCTGACGTTCTTGTTAGGAATTAAATTCCCAGCCAGGCGAAATTATCGTACAATACCTGGGAATCCTTGGATTTGGTAGTATTGAGGAAATCAACGATTGCATGAACACTTCCTTGAATTTGGTGCACATAATGAGCTCCTCGCGCACTTAAAGCCGTATTGGCTAAAGCTCGGCATGCCCTGTTTCGTATCGAATCTTCCGCGATATTTGTAAGAATACGTACTGGACAACAGTCGATGAATAACACGTAGCCATGCAAAAATAAACGCAGTAAGAAATGAGCCAAATGTTTTTATTTTACTGAAATTTATACCAGTGGATTTAATGGCGAATGGTGCTTGTTTGTGGAAGTTTCTCAGCTGAATTCATGATCGCTATAAAAAAAAGTGAGTTAAGTCTCACTAAATTCGCTATTTAGCTCTTATAAAAAAAAAACTAGTATTATTGGAACTTCCCACTATTTAGTACATTATGGCTATACGCTGTGTGATAGGACTTTTATATATATATAGAAGTTGAAGAATCATTGCCTTTGATTTTGTATCATTCGTACATTATTCATTCATAATTACCCTTAATGAATGCCCATTGGATCATTTATATATAAAGGACGCGCTTACTTACCGATACTGGTGACCCCGTTACTTTCAAGCACTTCAGCGCGTACCCGCGCATGGACAAGGCAGTTGGCAAGCACGCTGAGGGCAAGATCAGCCACTCGTGGCTTTTCAATATAGTGCAAAAGCGATGAGACGCCACCCAACCTTTGGAGATCTGTCACTAAAGATGGATCACGCTTCATCGAACGACCAATAATCTGAATAAAATCGTAGATGAAGATAAGTCTAGCCGATAATAACTTTAAATTTACTCCGTAAAACGGCGACTTCGATACGAATGCGATAGGAGGCAAGTTTAATTATGTTAAACATGAACACGTGCAATGGCAAAGATCACAAACTATAAAAAAGTAAATAAATGAGACTAATCCAAAGGACTAGCTTTATAACATATGAAAGGTGGTGTAGTTGAAACGTTCCTGTTCTTACCTGAAGCGCTCTAAGCAGGCGAGGAAGAGGCAACTGACGGGTGCTCAACGCTCTCACTAATTCCTCAAAAGATGGAGCAGGTTCTCGCGTTACGGATGCCATTTCGCCTAAGAGTCAAATAGGTCTAAAGAGAAAATTGAACGCAATAAATCGCAATGTTACCATTAATATTTTGTGGACGTATTTCTATCCTAAGGAGGGATGCGGCCTCATTGATTCCATCGTCTTATACTACTATTTACACTGTACTCTTTAGAAGTCATCGTCATATAAATAACCCTATTTCTCACGCAAATTTTCCAACTTTTATGTGTCGTCATGTAAGTTGAACTTTGTCACATAACTCACACAAGCGTTACTGCATAAGCTTCAGAAGTAAGTTCAAAGATTAGAAAAATTTTTTTCACAAAAATAAAACAACAATAGCTATTTATTACCGATAGAATGCATGAAAAAAGATTTTTTTTCTTGATGTTTATATAGGTTCCATTAATGGTTCCTCTTTTAGAAGCCACGCCGAATTGTTTCGTGTTTATAGTAAATAGCAGTTATTTCTTAGCGACGAAACTCCGTGCTCTAAATTGTGGTAAGTGTGTACTCAATACAGAGACCCCATAGGCAACTTTTCTGATTTTTCTCTGCATCTACAAATCATTCCTGGCTTAAAAAATGAAGTTAACTTATATAGTTGTTGTCTATATACTATTCTTGAAATCGATCATATCAAGTACGTGTTTTAAGTTTCATTTTGCTAAATACAATATAATAACATAACGTACGCAACATAAATACTAGGTAATAAATAGATAAATACGCTAGTTGTTAGTTTGCTAATAGTTTAATGGATGGTTTTTTCTGTCAAAAGTGTCTTCGGTGTTACACACGATCAAATGCGCAAAGAGACTCATGCTAATACGCACGGCACTCACATTCATGCAAAGCAAACTTTTGGGTTTACATTAAGCAACCCTTTAGAAAGTTCTAAAACGGGTCTCGATTATAGTCACACAAAATAAATCTTAAATATGGCAAGCGAGATCGTAAGGCCCCGAGTACGTTTTTGCTGCCTCCTCATTGCAAAAAGCCATTTCACAGCTTAAAGTAAGACATATTTTATGGTGTCCATAATGTGGGCGGGCTATATACTTTCCTTTGTAAAGTTCTATATTGGTTGACTGACGGGCGTTTGTGATTGTTATTCAAGGCGCATTCTTGTCACTGAATAGTCCATCTGAACAATAATACAATATAGAGCTCAAAATTTATAAGACAGGCTCTATTCTACTAACTACTTTCGACAGCCCTCTTCTTTCACAAATCCACTCTGTGATCAGTGGAGCCATCAGCTGTGCGGTCCCGTTCGACGAAAAGGAAGCTTCGTATTGTGGCCACCAGAGCGGCGCCACTAGATCTTTCGTGCAATCTACCAAACGTCACCCATTGGTTGAACTGTTGGAAATGACCTATCGACCTGGACCTGTATAATTGTATTTGCCGAAAAATGTTTATACTTTCGAAAAGTGCCTTATTTACGAATGTATGCATTATGAATGTTTTGCAGAAACTGTAAGGTAGGCTCCTCTGTTATTATACTATCATAATGATAATAATAACTAATTAATGATTATTACCAAAAATAGGCAGATGCATCGCTTTACTCACTCGTGCATTTCGCGCCCTTTTGAATAAGTATTATTGGACTTCTCACAAATCCGTAAATAGGGTAGGAAGTTATTAAAGCGGCTTGCTTTGCATGCTAAATGCCAGCTAAATTGCTAAAATTTCGCCAGATCTGTGTTTAAAACCTAGATCAATTGACACTATGAAATATTTGTTTTATAGAAATGGTGATAGTCCAACAGGGTAATAGGTACATGCACTCGGGCTGCCGAGAAAGAAAATTTCTCTTATAAAATTACTGTACTTTAAGATACTAGCTACAAGCTTGATTAGACGTTATTTGATTCTTGGCAGGTTTCTAATAAATAATAAGATATACCATATCTATAATAAGATTATAGATATGGTATATCTTATGCTATAGCTGCGAGTTGATGTTCTTAGCATGTTCAATAACTGTAATGCAGTTAGATCTACGTAACACCATTTTGAAACCAGTGTCTATTAGTTTCAAATACTATTATTAACTACTACAATTATTGATAAACTAGCGGTTTGTATTTCCGCTATAAAGGGCTGAGCCTTTCAAAATACTTCAATTCTGCCAGCTTTCATGACTTTAATGCAAAACCAGTTCGGGGTCAATAACTGCAAACGATCATTCCCAGATTGCAGAATGCATTTACTCGTCTGGGACGAGTATGACACTAGATCGAGTATATTGGGCCGGCCCAAGAAACTTTAACCTGTCCATAAACGTTTCACTGTCGTTCTGGGCCATTAGAGTAATCCGCTAATCCGAAAGGAAAGTCTGTAAGCCCTACCTGTTAAAACTATTCACCGCTGTGCACCAGCCATTTCGACATGATCGATATAGTAATAGACAGAAGGTTATTTTTCGTTGCAGAAGCTCAAAGCGTTGTTGTTGCATTGAGCTCTTTCAAATCAACCGGTAAAACAGTCATTCAATACAAGGCATGGTGACACTGGCCAGACAAGCAGATGTATTCATCCAATGATAAACCATCACACAATTATGCCCTACATGTTTTATCAGATAAACGAACAATGGTTTCTTTTATTGCAAACTATTTACACCATCGATTCTGATAGCTTGCACAATACATGCTACGCTTTGGAGTGCTTCTTGTGCATATGAAACAATCAAAGTTTGCACAATTGAAAAACACAGTGGTCATTTGCCCGCGATTCCGACTAGAAGCGCGAATATACACTAGACAAGCACACAAAAACCCAAGTATCCTCTGCTTTCACGCAGCTCATACAGCGGATGCTGCAGTCATAGATCACACCTCTGTTTTGTGCAGCACCTACATCACAATAGCCTGCAACACTCTATTCATGTCTTTGCTCCATTTTTCTGTCGTCTGCTCATATTTTCAGCCGCTACGAAAATGCTCCTTTTCTCGTATAGCACATGTGTAGGGTACGCCTTCTCAAATTAGACTCTAAACATGACACAGCCATCACAATCTTCACACTCTTTCTTTTTCTTGTCGCACAAAGAATAGTAGTACTTCCCGTTGTCACCGCAAACTCTGGAGGTGCTACTAATGGCTGGCCAGCCGCGTTAGCTGGTTCGATTGTTCGTCCGTCGGCGCATGCTTGTCACTCTATATACCGCTCCCGGCTGTACGCGCACCATAACAAAACCTCTCGCCTCTTTCTTCACCACCGTGTGACTATCAGCCGCATGTCTTCCTACTTGCTTGCCTTTCTGTCTTCTTATTCTCATACCGCTGCTGTATCTGCGGCCGCAACTGCGGCTGTCGCCTATCACACCCGGAAACCGCTCGCAGCATTGCTTCAACTGCCGCGATTGCTGTTCCTACTACTTTATACTGGTGAAATAGTGAGTGTACATCGTCGAGTTCCGCTGCCGTGCGTTCCTTCACTTTGTAACGAGTGTTAGCGCAGGAACGAACCACATAGCGAGCGCCACGACACGCAGAGGGGGTATCAGTGCCATCACAGTAAAGCGCATAGGACCGCTAAGAAACAGCAACGACAACCGAATCAGTCGGGCTGTTGACTGATTGGTGCGTTGCAGTTGAAGCAGCAGCTCAGGCGCGAGTCCGTTGCCTGTGTGGCAGCAGCGTTTTGCCAGCGGTACAAGCAATAGCAGCAGACTCGTCAACGCTCTAGCGACGGACGGCCAGACCCTGACCATCAGGAGCGAGCAGCAACAGCGCCAGCCGCCGCCGCTGCCGGAGTGCTGAGACTGCTGCTGGCATATAGTGTGTCTATATACACGATAACTGGCTAAGCAGAAACACGGTATTAATTTTGCTGGTACTACCTTCCGGTCGCATTGTCCTGTCGTCTCGCGTCTACTGTAAGGACAGGCTGTGCTTACGGAAACAAGCCAATAAACAGCTATATACACACACTTCGTCTGTCTTGAAGCTTTGACTGTATCAAAGATTCTGGTACGAGAAATCCTGTTAGTTTCGAGACGAAGACGTCAACTCAAACGAAGCAAGAAACACTTCGTCGAGCGCCGTCTTTTCACCCCCGCAAACCGATCTGCTTGTTGAGTCTCGTTGAAGTTAACCCAGAGATCATTTAGCAGCTCGAAGGGAAGCTTGTTGCTCGGTGTGTCATTTTGTCCATGTGCTTATGTGTACCTATGGAGTGTCGCGCTGACGGTGGCGGAAAGTAATCGAACGCACATCATGATGATAAATCTCTACCGGCCTTTCCAGTCTCGGCTGGTCCCGGCTCGTCGACTAGTGACCGTTTAACTGTGGCCTCAGTAAGCCGTATATCTTAGTGTACGTGTCTAGATTATCAATATCGTTGTCATCGTCCTACCGATTGTGATCGTCGTCGCGTTTTTAGCGTCCAAACCGTTATCGGTTTAAGCGCTGACTCCGTAACCGTGGACCGCAGTCCAGCGCACAGAAACAGTAAATGTAAAGCAGTCCATGTAATCGTTACCGACCCATTAACTGAAAGGGGTCCGGTTCTTGTCTCCATGTAACAAAGGCGCCGCTGCACTTCGCTGGGGTCCGGGTGCATCCAGTAGCTAAGAGAGCACAGTTTGCGACTGTCATTGTGCAACAGTGAGCTAATGTTCGTACTCGCGTGCTCTCGTCGTTCAGCGAGGCGTAGCCAGCCCGTTCCGAACGCTTCTGTGTGAGGAAAATGTTTGTTATATAAAAGAGCGGACAAAAAAGTGAATAGTGCTTTCGATCATCGTCTGATCCACAGACCCATAGAACGTATGAATTCGTGTATGCTTGCAGGGTTGTTCATCAAAAAAGAGTGTAAATGTGCACCGATCTCCCTATGGAGCTTCGGGTAGTGTAGTGAACAAACCCCCTCGACAGGGTCTCGCAGTAGCGAGTAGCAGTGCTGGCGTCTCTGGTTATTCTCAGCAAAAAAGAACGAAGACCAAAGTATTGGGCGACAAGGTCTCTCAAGAAGAGGAGAAAGAAAAATACAAACAGACAACGGAACACCACATTCGTCTTCTGGAGAAGGATCACTCCGGAACGACGATTACGGTTAACCAGAATGACGACCGGTAAGCACTAACCTGGTAGAACAGGACGTTATGTAATATTGGGTAATAAATACGATAAAGGAATAAAAAGCGCAGCAGAGGAATCGATCTTCAATATAGTAAGTAGGATGACTTGCGCGCCGGTCTAGTCTAGCCGTTAGAGGCGATACCGTTGATATGGGAAGTGAACGCGACGGAAAATCGAACTGCAGTAGAGTAGGCAAGAATAAGCGCTGGTTAGTTCTCAGATTTGCATTGGCAGTAGGAGTTATTTTAACTTCTGCACTTTATGCAAAGGCTTCAGTATTTGAGTTATGCTGCACCGCCAGTTTACTGATACAGAAAATTGAGGCGAAGTTTAGCGTCAAGCAATCATAACGAGCGAATGAATAGTACACCTATAGGTATATTTTAGTGTGTAACTTGTGTTTCTAAGAGGGTATTGGTACGATGCAATAGGTTTATGGTGCATCCACTTTGTGCATATCTGGAGTGCCGTGATACTTAAATGCAGAGTCATACGAAGAGAGCAGCGGCTCACCGTTCATCAGTTTGAACGCTAGCAGAGACATCATACGAGAAAGCTACCCAGTGGAATATTGTGCTTCTAAACAACCCCTTTGATTTGAATATGATATCAGATGATATCATATTCAAATCAAATATGACTGTTATGAGTGGCCTTCAAAGCAATGCTTATTGTGTGTCAGCCGCTGATTGAATCCTGATGTAGACTTTTACAAGTTTGTGATTCTAGTAAAGAATTGCATCCGAATAAGTAGATTCTGGTCCAGTGCCATATACACCAACAATACTAGAGTATGATTTGAAAGACTGTGGGAAACGGCAGTTCCGATGAGCAATTAAAACCGAAGTCTTTTGTTATTTTAATTGATCGTATGGAATTATGACCGGGAATGCTAGCCAACTTGGACTGCTTAAGGCTTTTCTCGGTTCCGACTACCGTTATGTACTTGCGTAAGCGAATTACCTACATCGGATTAATACATCAGTCCATCGGTATCATGCAAGTGGCTATGCACTGCGCGTAAGCAATCGAATTACTAACCAAAATGCTAGTGTATCTTCGCATAGAAACCAGTGTCTTACATGAATGATGGTATCGTGAATAACTAGCGGTCATTGGTACTTCTATAGACGATCGATAATGGTAAACAGAGAGATGCGCTCACTATGTAGACTAACAACATATGCCGTTACGTGTGTGTATGTGTCAATGTGGGTAGTGTTCAAGGTGACCGTACGTTGGTTTTTCTACGAGTCAGCCGTAAATCATACGTGGAATTAGCTTTCTACCTGTCTTCTGTGTTTCCTGTCGCTATTGTTAGTAAACCATATGTTGGTTTTTATCTATATATCTGTATAATTTATTGATAAAGTTTACTCACCACTGGTAATTAACGCATCGTTAACGGTCAACAGGATGAAAATGTGGGTTGAAAGTCCGGGAAGGGTCGATTAACTTTTTGACGGGCCGATTTGACTGACTGTGTTCTTGGCAAGGTCGCTCCTACAACATCTTTGTCCTTTGTTGTACGATAAGATAAGCTTAGTTCTAATGGTAATTTAATCTCGCTCGGTATCAGCGGGCTCTTAACATGGTACTTTCTTCTGTAGAGTAACAAAACCGTGAATAGGTTACTTGACAAATGAATAGCACGAGTAAGAACAGCGACAGCGATACATGAAGTGCATACATTTCAAGTGCTAAGTAATTCTTCTTCCTCAGTAAGAGAGACCAACACTCACCGTCATTCCCATAATAAGGCACTGAGCGGGTGCTCTGCTTAGTGCTGCTTTTAGTGATTCCAATGTCCCTGCCGCAGCTGCTACTACCGCTGGCTATTGGCGGCTGCGTAGAGTAAATGAGAGCAAGAAGAGTCCTGTGAGAGGCTGGTCGTAACGTCATCCCATCGCTCGCGATGGAGTCAGTACGTACTTTCCCATTTAGCGATGTTTATGGGTTGCGGGAGTTTGTGATGCTAGATGCGTACGCGCCTTCTCGTGCGCGGTCGGCTTCCTCATGTCAAGCCGTCTCATTAGCATGGAACACTAGCTACTAGACAGCTTCACGGCTTCATGATTTTTTGCGTGCAATGTATACACGTACCCGTGCCGTCTGTCTGGCTATTCAATAGTTCCTCTGATACGGAGAACAGTGTGCTCACTAGTGGCAAGTCTAACGGTAGCAGAGTTCACTATTTTTGCTTGTAGTTGTACTTCTACTGTTGGTGCTACATCTGCCAGCGTTGCTGCGACAGCTTAACTCGCGTGGGAAGTTGGGTCCATATTCGATGGATTCTTCGTTGTCGGCGGATGGTACCACAGCCCGACGGTGCAACTTCCTTTCCTGAGCTTATGGTAAAAGTAGCGCTGCCTGGTGTTACAGCCTTTGTTACAATACAACGGGTCACTGACTTACTTTTGTCGGCGATCGTTCTTCAGTAGACTGCATTGAGGTCTGACGCGCGCTGTGATCTGGCTTTTCTGTAGAGCTTCTCCACAGCTTCATAGGAAAATTAGCGAGCAGGGCACACAACACACGCGAATAGACGTCAAAGCCGTTTCGGGCCTTTGATATTATTGAATATTATGTTACTATGGAAACCATATATATACTGATTACATCGTTTAGGGTTTTCGAATAATGGGTCGATGTACGTACCTATGTTTCCCCGGGTGCAAAAATCTGCGCGTTTATCTTTACTCCGTGCAGTCAAAAAAAGCTGAGCTCTGTACACATTTGTTCTGTTGATCTGTCGTTTTTTCATTCATTGTTGTCCGTGACTGCGACCGTGACCGCGGATAGGCCAGGTCTATATTTGCCCCATCGGAGGGCACGAAAACTGAAACGCCAAAAAGAAAAAACAACCAATTAGTATACCGTTTATGTGACTTTTGTGCTTGCCTTTGCCGTTTAGCTCTTGAAGTTCCTGTTGCTGTCAAAACTGTTCGATATTGAGTGAGTCAAATGAACTTTGAATTTGGCTGAATTACGTGAGTTGTCGAGACAATTGTACATGTTTGTTTGTGTTTTTATTGCTCATTCGTAGACCATTTTAGTAACTGACTGCTTAATCAACGCATTTAACAAACAAACAAGCCATTAAGCGGCTGAACCCAACTGACAATTTGTGAACTTCCGTAGATATATAGAAAATAGTGCGTGACATTTCGTTAGTGGCGACAGAAACACTGATAGTGGTGGCACAGACGTTAGAGCAAAGGATAGGCAGCTATCGAAATATCGGTAATGCTGCTTCTGTCATGTCTTTCGATATTTGTTTGTTACCCAATTGTAGCGCCAGCGGGGGCAGAAGTAGATAGTTGGAGGTGTAGAGCTGCTACTGCCGCGTCTGTGTGCAGTTGATCTGAATGTTGAGTGAAACGTCGCCGGTTGTTCATGTCTGACTCTTTTTTTTCAAGTTTTTTTCCGGCGTTATCACTCCGTCCACAGTACAGTACTATGATAGATAAAATCGCAACGCGAAATCAGTGAAATTCAGTGGCTTACTTTAGCGATCATTTCGAGGGTGATGTCTGTTTTGGCTGATGTACACGCGTCGCGTCACATTCTTCGACGATCTGCTGACTAGTGAACAAGTGGCTTAGTCTCCGCGGCAAACGCTATCTCATGTCAGGCTGTTACTCATTACTTTCGTTACTGGTCTGGAGTTACTGCTACAGTTGCTGCTTGTGCCAGTGATGCTGTTTCGATTGCGCTGAACGACTATTACTTCAGAAATCGGACGGTTTCTGAATCAACGGCTAGTGGCGACCGTTGTTGGGGGACAAAAGTCACTTTCTGTAAACAAATCATGTGCCGACGAAAAGGTGGCGTACCAGTACGATCACCGTTGGTAACAACTGAATTGTAAGATTACCTGTTGTCCCATATTTTACAAACCACGAATGACGAACTTCCATCCATCCGATCCATAAACTAATCTAACTGTTAATGATGATTTCCTGGTACAGGTTCGATTTATGAGATATGCGATTAGAAAAACAGTCTTCGTGTAGCGTTTGCCTCTTAATATGCCTACCATTTCTCCGTAATCCATGTTAGTTTGCAAAGTAAGAGGTCGACCGGACGTTTCGGTTGATAGCTAAGTAAACTAAACTGGGTTAGATATTTACCTCTCCACAGATCGTATTTTTGGGGGGTTTATTTCGTCTATACGTGATATAATTATGATAGTAGATAATTTTTGGAAAAACTAGTAATTTAGATTTCAATTAGCCATTGCGTATTGTACACTTTTCAAAAACTAAATCTATGTTAGATTATCTAATACTGGCTGCTAATCAAGTTATGCCTTGTTGTGACAGCTACAGATTTTGTCCCTAACAAAGAACTAGTTAATCTAGCATATACTTAGAACTGAGCTCTAAGCTTAATCTTCTTCCGAGATACGAACCCTGTCGTTCCTTGTCCTGAAAATACGACTATTATCGTATTCTATATATTAATTGTCATATTCGACATTGGACAGCGCACTTTACTGTAGAACGGTTTCGTTAGTTGCCGTCGACCATCATCAGCCCACAGACACAAACATACATTGACAAAAAAAGTTAAGTATTTGTAGAGCGCCACTATATATAAGAAGTGATTTGAAACTTCTGGTTAAGCTAAATGATTGTATAAACCAGGCGAACTACGCTGTGGGCGAACACAATATTTCGTTTGAGGAGAAATAGAATATGCGTTAGCAAGCGTTAAGTTTATGAAACAGTTATATAAATCGAACTGATCTTTATGTTTAATTGTTGACCATATATTATGCCATTAATCGTTAAACAAACGATAGCTCTCAGTCCTACATTAAAAATATATTTCAACACAGACCAGAAAAATACCATAACCATGGCTACATTAGCGCGCCAATTAAACTCTTGGGGATATAATAATCGGTAGTCAAAGTAGACGTCAACTACATTTGGCCGATCTAAAATAAAGACTGATTGTTCTACCTTTTGCCGCTGTCACTATCGACATCATCTAGGAAGTCTTGTGTTCGTAAAAACAAGGACTGGTTGTCAGGTAGAGGTCTGTAAAACCAAACGGCTTTTGCAATACTTTTAGCTTTTTATCTGGATTAAGCCCAATGTTGCGTTAGTTTTGCTTGCCCGCGGCTCAGTCTAGATGGCTCAACTTGTAAAAGCAGAGTAGTTGCTGTAAAAATATAATCTTTGAAATATACTGTTTGTTGGATTATTATTGATATGACTATAATTCTGTAGCTGGTTCATATAGTTTGCAATGCCGGACTAATCTATTTAAAGAATACTAACTAAGAAAGAAGAAAACTACAAGCCACCACCTTAAATTACGTAGAGAAGCCACTTACGTAAGGTACGATTTACGTAGGGTTTAGGACTGGGTTATTTGACGGCGTCTCGTTCCGACACATTTCGTTCCGATTTTGCGCCAATTTCCGCTCAGACATTGCGGGAATATCTGATTTGATATGTGCGATTCCTGAAAACAAAATGCGGTTACTTTCCCTCTACGATTTGGATCCCTCTTGTGACTGTTACATCTGGAAATTATCATCTGCTATTTTCATATAGCCAACAGCTGTCGATGTTGCAATGTTGATTATTTCGCTGACACCAACTGCAAAAAATTATCTATATTTTTAGAACTGTAGGTATATGTCTATATTGCTTTTGCGGTACGTGCTGATCAGAGTTTTAACGAATAAAGGACTTACTTGTTTCGGACAAGTTATTAAGAAACTAAAATAACCCTGAATAATAAAAACCCAAAGGTTCATTTATATTCTGTGCTATATAAGTCTTTTACCTGATATATTGTTCATTAGGCTTAATTGAAGTTTGTATTCGTATGTGCATCCTTATGTCGACGTTAGGAAGGGCTAGAGATGACGTTTATAATAAATACTTTGTCCCCAAAAGTATTTTATTTCTATTTATTATATTAGAATACGCGATACTTGTGGGTGTGGCTAAAGTGTGGGTCGCATTCTAGCGAGTGGCAACAAGGAGCAGTTCTCAGTATCGGCCGTCATAACGGTACACGCGTCAACAGCTCTAACGTCAACAACGCCAACGGTAACGCTATAAGGAAGCGTGTCGACATAAGGCTATAATCGATGTCATTTAAGCGCTGCGAAGTCGGAAGAAATTTGCTTGAGGAGTAATGAGTATTGTTTTCTAGTGTTATTTGGGGAACCTGGACATAGCTGTAACGAAGAGAGCACACCAGTTCTACCATGCGAACCAGTCAGCCTGCCATCACTAGTACTACTTTCTATTTTCAATCAGCGTGGAAGCGGTAGTTACGATTAGCGACAGTCAGGCTTAAGTTGTTATTTGTAGCTAATGGTGGTACAAGAAAAAGGTATTTCCTAAGAGACCGAAGTATGGTTAAATCGTGCTACGGCCTAGTTGTGTCTTTAGGTTTTATTTGGGTTCTTATGACAGAAGGAAGGTTATGGACATTTTAGAGGGCAGGAAACGCGGAGTATAAAATGTGCCTGATATGCGGGGATTGGGAAATTCAAACAGGACCCGCATATTTAAGAAAAACTGATGTATGTGTCTGTTTGTGACATTTTTGAATGTTACGATTTCAGCCGAGGAGCAGTATGTCGTTGCCAAATACGACTATGCGGCGCAGGGCTCACAGGAGTTGGATCTACGGAAAGGAGATAAATTGCTCTTAATTGATGACTCGAAACATTGGTGAGTATAGAAGATAGTATTAAAAAATAATTTTATTGGTCTACTATATTACAACTATATTGACTTTTATCATATAGCACTAAAAAGATAATGGAGAAAATTGTTATAAGTGCGTATTCAACGTTTTCTTTTTACAAGATTGACAAACGAAATCTCAATGTAAGTCAACCTAATAGTTGTTACTGCATGCTTACCTATTTTCGTTACCTAGTTTGATATCGGCCAAATATCACCGAGCAAATGTAATCGACCTAAAATGAGTAAATAAAGCTAACACTGAACTAACCTATTCAGTCTTTTTCTGTTACAAATGTTCGCACTCCAGTTGGCAAAATCGTGCAAATCAGCTCATGTTGATTTTAAGCAGAAATTAAGTGTTGAACTAAGAGGAAATTTGTTAAATCCGCTTAGCGTTCATTCATGACTTGCGGAGAAGTAATCGAATTAGCAATGACTGATGGGGCCAGCGTATTGCTGACCCTGTTAGTACATGACGGACCTAGGGGAATGTCTTAGTCAGTTATAAATACGGCGGATGTGGACCGTAAAATAAACAACTGGATTGAAATAGGGCCGGGTGAATATAGACAGGTTTTTCTATTTAGAATGTATTATTCTATCAGAATCGGAGCCTGATGTTTGATTACCGCGTCCACGCCACACACTGGTAAAGTCAGACACACCGGCGACGCTAAGTATGCTAACCTTTAACATTTAATAATGCTGACAGTATTACAGATAAAGCAAAAATGATTCAGTAAATAAAAACTTTGCTTTTTGCTGTTTTTGTTCGCAGTTATATGTGTTCAGTTATATGTGCCCAAAGTCTGCCTGACTATACAAATAACGCTACAGCAATAATTCCATTAATACAAATCTCTTTAAAGTCTGTTAGGAGAAACAGTTTACGGTTGTTTTTAATAAATGGTTGCTTTTTATACTGGCTGGACGTAACAGCGCAAAATACTTTCAGTAAGTTTTTTTTGACTAAAAGAACACTTTTTATGTTAAATGGTAATTCGACGCCTCTCTTTCCTTGTAAAAATATTCAGAAAAACGTTGTTTAAATCATATTAATCAAGCAATTTTAATTATTAAGAATGTTCCTCAAAGTTGAGCACTCTGATGTCAATAATTCTTTCTTATGGATGGTCTGACATCTCTTGTAGTGTTAGACAAATGGCACTAGGATTGCAAACACTTAGTTTTAGAGATAGTGGTGTTTGTAGTGTGTTCAGAACTGGTTTAAAATTTAGTTTTTCTTGATAAATGCAAACACTGTCTTTTTACGTAGACACGTTCAGTCTCTTTTATATAGCGAAGAAAGGAAAATTTGTGTTTAACCATATCGTTGCGCATCTTTCTAATAACTAACAACTGATACCCAAATTACGTAGGTTTACACAAAACCAAAAAGAAAAACTAGATTAGCTAAAATTATATACATATACATATGTTGTAAAGGAAACTCTTTTAAATTGTAAATTTAAAAAGTACTTTTAAATTGTTAAAGTTACGAGCGGTGTCCAAAGAAAGCATAAAAAATTCTCGGGTTGCCAAAAAGTAACGATCCAGCAGGTTGCATCAGTTCACTAAACTAAGCCCATCGTAAAGTATTTACTAGTAAGATGAATTTTTTAAATAGATTCTTTGACACGACTAGATATCGCTCGAACAATTATATAACTTTCACTGTGACTTAATATACTAGTTATGAAAAAAACCGCAAAAAAAATAAGTGCCTTTAACTAAATTTGAAAACGCATATGCCTCAATTTATTTTCAACATTGACTCCGTGATCTTATTGCGATTGAGAATGTCATTTATATATGGAAATGGCCACTCCAGTCGAAGTGTTTGAGAGGACCTCTTCCACAAGACACATTAGTATAAAAGCCCAGTGTAAGAAGTGTACACCAGTTAGAGGCCGCAGAAATCGGAAGCGTCTGCTCATAAAATGTGATATGCCGTCTGAACGTCTATTAAGTGCAATGCACACCTCTGTTCTTTACAGTATCTTTTCAAGTGGCATATCAGTGTAAGTGTTATTGACACATATTTCTGTACTCTATTATTTACATTGGACTTCTCTAGATTTCCTGCATTTGTTTTCAATAGCGTATTTCATCCGCACTGGCTTGATTGTTCTCAGTAATGTTTGTAGTTGCTAATCCCTGTTCTTTTAGATGCTGCCTTAGTTTTCTTATAAACAAATCTTCACCGGCTACATAAAAACAGATCTGTTGTTTATTTCCGATTTCTCCTAATCTTTTAAGTGATTCGATAAGTGTAGATAATTCAAAGAAATAAACTGTGGATAAGGGATAAAAATTCTGCTTAGGAGCAACATAGTAGAATAAGTAATTGTCTTATAATTAAAAGAGGCGAAATTGTTTTTCTTTCAATAGAGCTTCTTGTTGAAGATTATAAATATTAAAATAAAATAAAATATAAAATAAAATTATAAATATTTTATCCTAGCCATTTGATTTCTATATGTTCAACACTTTCTTGTTGATGTTAGCTAACGTTTTTATATTATAGAATGGCCGAAACCACATGTTCGCTATGTTTCTTCATATCGCGTTATGTCCATTTTTGGAAATCCCTTTTTCATGCAACTGCATTTAACGACGTTACTATATCTTCTTGTGTTCGATGCTTTTAACGGAACAACGTGAACAGTTGATCGAATTGCGATAAAAAGGCGCCGCTTAATTTTCGTCGTCCATATAACCTAATCATGTATCCGATAAATATGAAACAATTAGCATCAAACATGTTTGTGGTATTGATATACTCGAATTAATTATAGAATAGTCATTGATTAGCATAAAAGCCAAGGCTTTTTCTAATGTGTCGTATCTATGCTATTGCTGTAACGGTGTACCGCTGGGTATACGGTGTCACTAAACTGCTGTCATATTTTCTATCATATTTTTCAGCGTGAACCTAGTTTTTGTATTTGTATATGATAATACTGCGTCATGAACCTTTCTCGTGAGGTTCAACAACGACAAGGTACCACAAATACCGCTTGCGAGTCGGTATATTGTGCCGCAGGGGATGGACGAAAATGTTAAATAGCTCCTTTCAACCGCAAAAAAAGTTGTTTTTGGTCTCATCGTCAGTAACAACATTCATTCTCTCTGATATCAGTAACGCTTTTTATGATTCTCTACGTTCTCAGTACTGCCGTATAATCACTAGTTTTGTCGCTCTCGTTTTTCTTTTATCTCCGCCTTGGTTTGAAGTGAGCGGCACAGAAATAGTACAATATTACCTGTGATACTTTACCGGGTCCCTTTGTGGAGCGGTAAAGAAGGCTGCTGTGAGTCAAGCAGAAGTTGTCGTCAAACAATTGACACCGTTGTAAAATGAAATTGTATACGAAAATCGACTCGATCGACTAAGAAAGAGTCGTTCACATTTTGTTTACTATCTTTTTCCACCTCTAAGTCGCTTAAATAAGGATCTGTGTACTACATCTTATCGAAGAACTACTTTTTTTATAATTTTATTTCATTAAATGTTGGTATCGCTAGCATGCCCGCGTACAAGGGCGCTGTGAGCGGACATCGCTACCAAATACGTATCTATCAACCAAAACATTCTACTTAAAAGATTGATTAGATCAACACTGTTAATAAGCTCCATATGAATGTGTAGCCCTTGTTAATCGACATGATTACAGGCCTTAAAGAGGATCGTAGTAATTTCTTAGTACGTCGCTGTTCAAAGCCAAGGTTTTGTAAGCTATTAACACCCCTTCTGCTTCTGCCGTAATGTTTGTTACTTATATTGTTGAAAACCAAATTATATAGAGAAATTGCTTAGAAACTCAGGCTCTTCTTCTTGTATTGTAACCTTTTTGCGTAACAACTTGGCGCTCTGTGTGTCAGCTATTTATTATCGTACTGTATGATAGGGTATCTGTGATCTACATTAATTCATGACACGTTAAGATTATCTTCGTAACCTTGTGCTGTGGCAAGGCTTGATTGTAAAAAATGCAATAACTCAACTTAATATTGACCCACTGCGCTCTGTGCTAAATACGCATTGCCCTTCGATGTAAGTTTTATGAGCAAGAACAGAAATGGGAAACAGAAATTAATTTTTCAGGATAGCTAGATTGGACTATTAAATCTTGCTATGGTTTATACATTTACATTACGTAAAACGTAATTACTAACCTATTTAATAATATGCAATTTGGTTTGAGTCGAAAAAGACATAATATGCACCCATTAAAATTTAAAAATGAAACATTGCAAGAAGAACTATTATTGGTTGAATAACACTGATTCCTACTATAAATACATTAGCGCATATAGTAATACGGTCAGCGAACGTTCGAATTTCGCGAATTTCAATGTTTGTTTTTTGCAACTATCACTGCACAATCGGGTTCTTTGCCTTGTTAGAGTTAAACATCTATGATAACTTTACTTTTTGTTGTTAAACGGCGACCTGGTTGCAAACGAACGTAAGATTCATTATAGATACGTGCCAGGACCGTATTTTACGATAGTCTATACTTGTACCAAAACTGGTGTGGATGTGTGGTTGCTTTTTATCGTTGCGTGCAGGTGGAAAGTGCAAAACGCCCGGGGGCAGGCCGGCTTCGTGCCCTCGAACTACGTGAAGCGTGAGAAGCCCTCGCTCTTCGACAGTATCCGAAGGCGCGTCGCCAAGGACAAGGAGGCCGGCAAGGATGGCAAGGACTCCACAGGACAACATAGGGAGCGATCTGCAGCCCGGCAAGCTCGGCCAAGCCCCCCTGGGACTGCCCATGGGCCTTCAGGACCTCCTGGTCCTCACGGAGCACCACATCAACTGATCAGCCTAGAGGACACTAAGCCTGTCGGATATGCAACAGTCAGGTAGAAAACCTAAAAAGCTGTTCATCGATATTTACGGGTAGACATTAAGACACAAATAACGTTTTTTGTATAGCGTTATATGTAGGTGGAGTTGTCCAGAAGTATAGCTGTTACTGAGTTCTTGAGATACAGTTTGCAACCACCGCGCGTCAGCCGTAGTTCGGCAGCCTGGTTATCCTCTGCAAACTTCCTTTTTTTGCCATTTTTCTCTTTTTTTTTGTTGGCAGGTACAACTACGAAGCTAAGCAAGCAGATGAAATTTCTTTAATAAAAGGGGGGCGGGTTGCGGTCCTTGAGAAGTCCTCGGACGGCTGGTGGCGAGGTGAACATCAAGGTAGATTAGGATGGTTCCCCTCCAACTATGTCAACCCAGCAGGCGCCGAAGAGTCTTCAGCTGGCGGACACGCCGGTAGCCAACCTCGATCAAAAACCGCTACCCTCGAAGCTCCTTACGTAAACCTGGCGGGTCAGGAAGACGGCTATGTGAATGTGGCCCAAGTGGGCGTCAGCAGTGCACCCATCTTGGATGTGGTCATTGCCCTGTATTCGTTCGAGGTACGTTGAGTGGTATTCCATGCTTCTATACGACGACGCTTTCAACTTAAGCGTACAAAAAGAAGCACACCTCGGAATAGGTATCGGTCTTACGTCTGACAGACATTTTGAGTCGATTTTTAATAATAAACAATTGACTGATCATAGTATTACTTTTATTCCCATTATTTATTATATTATTCCTATTTTTACTTTCATTCCCATGGTTGTACTAAACAGTATTTTTGACAATTAGTTTGTCGTATTAGCCAACCATTGTGCTAGTTCTCCCATCAGGGGTACACGTATTCGGACCTGAGAGTGTGCCTCCTGCGTTCATCTAGTGAAATCGATCTGTAAGCAAAGCGTGTATGAGGGACGTTCCGCGGGCGTTAGCCAGGAATCCTGTGCTTAACATTGTTAAGAGCAGCCTGCAGGCTTTCGTGCTTCATCCGTGGTGTGTCATCCACAAATGAAATTACATTGGCTGAGCAAGCCGTCTTCTGTATTTTCTTGAATTTCGTAAACGAAACCACTACTTAACGTGTTATCTCTAACTTTTCTCCGTGAACGCATCGTGGTAAAATTACAGGCGCAAAATGAGGAAGAACTGTCGTTCTCAAAAGCGGAAAGATTGCACATAGTTGATAAGCCTGCAGATGATCCAGACTGGTGGATGGCAGTCAACTCAACGGGGCAGTCCGGCCTGGTGCCGAAGAACTACGTTCAAGTGGAACAAACAAAGAATGGAACTGGAGGACAGCTCCTTCCGGATATTCAACAGCCGTGGTACTACGGCCAAATCACACGAAGTGAATGTGACCAGTTGCTGAGCCAGTTTGGCGTTGATGGAGACTTTCTCGTTCGCGTTTCGGAAACGAATGTCGGTGATCTCTCTGTTTCAATGAAGGCACCGGGACGGAACAAGCACTTCAAGGTTCACGTAGAAGGCAGCACGTACCGAATAGGTAAGTTGGACATCGATTCTATTTTAGACTATAATACCTTTAACCTTTCAAGTTGGCCAATTTCGGACAAATACGCAAAGCACAATCTGGTTGAGATTTTTAAATGCTTGATTTTTTCGACGTGACCTATTTGACGGTCGGGATAAAGCTTGGTTACAGACTGTAGACAATCTTGTTTTGTCTTAAGATTATCTATACTAGAAAATGGTACCGAACCGTTGTCTTCAATGTTCTTTTTGCGTTTGGCTGCAGGTCAGCGTAAGTTTAACACCCTGACGGACTTGGTGGAGCACTACAAGAAATCGCCTATCTACACAAGCCCGCAGGGGGACAAGCTCTACCTCGTGAAGGCGTTCAAAAGACCTTAGTCGCCGCATCAGCGATAAGACCAATAATAATGATCATATGACAATAACACGATTTGTGGTGATGATAATAATATATATTATCATCATTATTACAGACTGCGTACCCCCCGCTGTCGCTGCTTACAGCCATGACTTTTTACAGCTACAGGTATTTGTGCAGCATTCAATTAAACGGATTTCAGTCAGACCTACACACACGCAACAGTGATATATATTGCTTTGGCTGTATTTTGTCACTTAACACTGCTGGCCATTACGAGAAGCTTACAGTTTTCCGCTCGTGAAAATCAGCGAGTTGTAGTGATTGAGTAAATGTGGATAATACAATAGATTCCGGTGCACCACAGCCAGCGCTTGTAGGAACTCGACGATTTCTTCCAAGTGTAATTGAATAGAGCTTAGAAGAAATTCAAGTGTGTTCCAATTTTATCACACCCGCTTCAGTTGATTCGACTGTTAATGAACGTGTGTACGTGTAAACTGGTGTATAATGTAGGCAGCCAAGATTAGCTTACCAGGGTCGTCAATGTCATACAAATGGGTTAGGCTAGTTGCTGGGAAGAGAGAAAAACACTTATGCACGATGACCCAAGTACTACTATAGTGCTTTTATCTCTGACTATCGGTGTAAAGGAAAGCTCATTTAGCGTCAATGCAAACGAGATAGTAGGTCATGGTCAAAGCTAGGGGTCTTTTTTTCATCTTCGAGACACTCGTATTCTGAGTAATTGTGATGCCTATTTTTACGATAAAATCAATTCTACAATGATTGAAGCATGTGCCATTACTCTACGCCCCACTTGCAATGTGAGCAATTAGCGAGCATTTGCATACGATGTGGATTACGGATTGGCCTATAGACCAGGCGTAAATGATCTCGGCGGCCTCTGAAGCGCATGCACTCACGCGTACGAAAACATCTTATATGATGAGAGCTTAGGGCAAATTAAGTCTTCAGAGTCCTAAAAAAGGACGACAGTTTGCATATCTAGCTACAATAATGCTAAATATAATTGGAGACTTCAAATCATATCTATAGCAAACGGAGTAAACGATGCTAATATGATTAGACTTGGTTCGCCGTTGGTCACAAACAAGCGAGAAAACAGGCCAAAAACTACGTCAAAAGGGTAGTCCAAGGATCCAGGAAAAGATTCTACGAGGAGAGATTTGGTACTAGTTATAGCGGCTCTAGATGGGTTGTCGAGTAACCCGAACATTTTCAAACAATCCAAGTGCGAGCTAATGAACAAGTTATAATACATTATACGACAGTACAGAAATATTTTCTTTTGTCCTAGAGGTTATGACAAGATTATAGTCATCTAATGGCAACTGCGGAGTGCAAATTAACAGCAACAATATACTAAGTATACGATATGATAAACTCACTGAAGTTACCGAGGGCATCATCACGGTAGAAACAACAAATGTACGTTAATTATATTGTATATGAACGATGACAAAATGACAATAGGGATGGTCGACGAAGGACTTCAGTCGACATATAAAATAAAGCTTTGTAGTTACAAGCAGCCAGCAAACACCATAGATCTATCTATAAATATGAAAAAAAGAAATACAAATATATACTATTGAGGTACAATATTTAGAAAAGGCAGTAATATTATTAGTATTATGTAGTATTTACTGTGTTGAAAGGGAGTGTATTTTGGTGAGAATAATAAAGGGAATAATAAAATAGTAGAATCTAATAAAAAGATTTGCCCGTAGAACGAAGGAAGCAGTTAAGTTATTTATGCCGTTTTGTTCTGATTACGAGCTAAGAAACGGCGGGAAAGGATAGCCATTCTCGTTTTGGTGAACATCGCATTTGTAATTTGCGGACAATATCGATGCTTTTTATATGTAACTTACGAGAAGTTAATCGAAACATACACATGTATACCATGAGGACAACGATGCTTGAATGGAACTACAAGTGGTAAGCGGCAAGCTAAAATCGAGATGGGGAGATCCGTATTAATGGTTGCTGCTACTGGCAGATTATCGCATTATTGCTTAAGCAGCAACCGCAACTGAAGCGTGAGCTTCTTAAAATCTCATAACTGTGAATTTGATCTTAAGACTTCGAGTCCTAAAAATACTTACAGACCTATGTGCACCTACTTCGAATTATGCAGGCACAAAGTTGACCCGCTGTGCAACAACTAGACGAAATCATCATAGATCGTTATATTTAAATACGCTAAAATGAATGATGGAGAATAGACTAAGAGCTGCAGAATCAACAAACGTAATTGTCTTTTTTAAAAATAGCAAGGAAAACGACCAGCAAACAAGTCTGAATACGTAAAAAAACGTATTCTGGCGGCCGTATGAATGACCACAGCCGCCGATATTAGTCATACTACTGAATAAGGCAGTGACGTAAGGTTTTGAAAGGAGAACACAGGAACACGATCAGATTTTAATGGCAATGAGTAATCAAGGAATGGGCTAACTGGAATAACGGAATATTACCGCTGACAAATCGGCGATATGTATGTTGACGCTGGGCAAAGACGAAAACGAGATACCTTACTAGACATTGTCTTTGCGGCTGCCCCTATTGAGCTATTGCAGCTATTGAGAATATCCTACGTCTCTCTCATCTTGATACAAGGAGGAGGCTAAGCAGGATGACACACAAAACTAAATAACGTATTGCGTCGTATCAAGGAAGAGGCGGAGTAAGGCTAAGGACCTAGTATATATATATACATGCCGTAAAAAGTAGGACATATCGAAAGTGTCTATGGTGCCAAACACCAAACAGGCTGTGTTGCCAACGTACACAGCAATGCACATCGCTCTGCACGGCTGGGGTCTTCTTCGGTCATCATCGGATCAGAGCTGTTCGTGTGCAAAGATGGCTATGTTGACCGAAGGCGTACCCCAGGGTGCGGCCCCGCTGTGCTATTATGAATGGACGTCTGAGCGGGAATGTCCACTCGCGACTGCTGATTCAGAGCGCGGTGTTCCTTCTATGATTGAGTCATTACTACAACTATTATTATTACTATCATTATTATTAATATACATTATGCGAGACAAGGCAAAATAATAGGTTTTACCGAACTAATAATGCGAAAGATTATATAAAAATTATATATATACATATATATGATTATATAAAAAAATATATACATATATATATATATATGATGATGATAAAATATTTATAGCAAATTTTGTGACATAAATAAATAAATGCAGATGGTGGAATGCTTGATTCGAGTTTTCATTTAACCTCTACTCATGATTAGTTTACACTCGCTTATGATATGGAGGTATCAATTGAGCTATGAAGGAGAATTACGACAGGCAATATAAGCTGCCTGTCTGATTCAATTTTTAGATTGCTATGTATATAAATGATAGTATAAATTATATAAATGTGAGACCGCTTATGCCATGTAAACAGCCATGTGTTATTAGTCTTTGGCTAAATAAAGATGTATCTAAAGGGATACGTTTTAACTGATTGGTCCTACAGTTCAGGTCGGCCTTAAGGCAGTGACCAACTCCCAACTTGCACCATTTATGTACTTCGTCACTTAATCGAATTATGTCGTTAGCTACTCAGTCATCTGATTGTTGTTTTATTATTGCAGCCAGGTCGATTTTGACAGATCTGACAGGTAAAAGTTACCGACAAACGCAAGGCCAACAAATGACGAAAATTCAGTGTTCCTATTTTAAAACGGTGAGTAACAAAAAAAATCATTTGCCTCAAACATAATTGATTAAAGTTACCCTTTTCCGCCAAAGGTTTAAGTCACTTCGAGTTTTGCTGATGGCCAGGTTGAATGTCATAATTTACAAAAGTTCACGCACAATACATTGTAACTAAGTTTATACGTTCAGCAAACGCTATAAAATCGTATTTTATCCCGGCCAAGCATTTCCATTTGAAAAACTTACAAACGTCTTTCGCTCGTACTTCACGTAAAAGTCCTCAAACGGCAGGCGAAAAGAGTTGCAACTAGACTTTAATAAATAATTTTTTATCTGGCTAACTAAATCTCAAATGTATGCTAAAACTGTGCAAAATTATTTATTATAACAAACTTCGAATACTTATTAGGGGAAGCACCAATTATTGACTTAGACCGTAAAGTCACTGAGACAAAAGATGCAAAAACCACGCATTTGAAGTCGATAGCCAGTTGAAACTAGCTATCGACTTCAAATGCGTGGTAAACGTTGATTAAAAGCTTATTTGTTGAAATCTGATTAGTAGTGTTTTCTAGGGTGCCAACAACGAATAATGATAGAATGGACTTTTTGTGATGCTGGCCAAGGTAACTGGCAACTGCGTTAAAAAAGCATGCAGAGAAAACAGGTGAAAAGGAAAACCCTTTCTGTTCGCTGTGGCAAAACATAGGGGTCTATGTACTACGCAGGAAACGGCTGACTTTAGACCATGACTGATGATCGTATACGGTGTCTATATATATTTCTTTTCAAGTTTAAAGTAAGGTGCATTTAATCCCTAAACATTACACTGCTTCTCTTTCGTGCTACGCCGCCTGACAACCTCACAACCCATTGGTTTCTACCTTACGATGCGCATGGCAGGTCTTAAAAAACACAAATCAACCAGAACAGCACGAAGCTATGCTTTCATTAAATCATATTGATCACGAAATGGGATGTTGTACGCAAAATCACATTTCACTGCAAACAGTGAATAGGAAAGATCATCATCAGCTGGAAATAAATGCGGTATACAGAAGTACGAAGTTCAACCTAGAGCTGTTTCTATATATATATAATCGTAAGTAGATCACAGAACAAGAACTTAGAAATTAACTAACTTCGTCTGTCAACAGCGCCCAGCGGTGTTAACGATTGGGTAAAGCTAACAGGTTAATGTGTGGATGGCAATATTAACATCACGGGTCCATACCGGATTACTACATAAATCTCTGCATGTAAAAACAGACTAACGTCGTGTTCTAATAAAGATCGCTACGTTTTGAGTTAAGCTTTGAAATCACGAGTAAGATGTGTGCTCAGAAAATTAAACGCGTTTTTAAAGAAAACCAATTTCAAAACCGTAACTAACATATGTATAGCCAAGCCATCGGTGTGATGCTCGTGAAAGTTAACCCTTTGGCTGAAAAAGTCAAGGATCACTGATTCAAGCCTTGCCGACGACATATATTACACGATCAGTAATTAGATAAAAAGGTAACTTTAACATATCATACGTATAGCGATCTAGAAGAATGACAACATTGCATTTATTAGTTAACTGTTTATTATAATGCTCATAACAGACTACGGAGCGTTTCATCAGCATCATCTGTGGTCTCATTTTCGGCTGTTTCAGCTGACTCTGTTTCGATGGATCTTCGTCCATCCCGTGTCGTTCTCCTGTTAATAGTAGCAATCGTCCTCTCGCTGCTTGCACGTTTTTGTTTTTAATCAGCGTCAACGTTCATGGCATCGTCTACTTATTATCGTCATCATTTGATGATCTCTTTCCAGCTGACAATTTCGAATATGCCTTCGTCACGTCCTGCTGGAAAGTTGTTCGTTCTCGGGAGACTGCGTAGTTGGTCGCCTAGCCTGGACAGGGACCGCTGCCTACGATACAGAAATTTAGATTTGATTTGAAACGAAACCGTGGTCGTTAAATAGCTATCAGTTAGGAGATGCACCGTATCATAATTATGTAAGACATTGGAAACCCGTATATATGTTACTGGGTTGACGTTAAAAGGTATTTCCAGTGAAAGCTCTATGTAAATGTTGTCACAGCGCTGTCCAGTAGAACCTAGCATTATGCCTAATAAGCCTAATTATTATCATTATTACGATGAATGGTTGGAAGCAATCTGCCATAGCCGATATAGATAGGTAAACGAGCTCTCATATTATTTAGGCTTTCTTTATTTAGTGGTGCTTTGAAGAATGACAGATTGTTACTTGAGCCCTAGCGTCGGTGTACATTTATTTCAGTACCTATTTGTTTCGCTCTAGTAGAATGTCTTGCTGTTACCCTCGTTTCGAGTACATCTTTCACTTGCTATTGTTGCCTTTAATTATTGCCCGGTTTTATCAAATATCGGTCAGATAGCCTTCAGGTAAAACGTATTCTCTATTGCTGCCCATAAGATGTGTCTAGCCTTTCTCAGAGGACGTTTTTCATTGGACCGGTGGCACAGTTAGGGCTATTCTGGTCGCCTTCACTTCACTACGACTTATCATCACTACCATTATCATGTTTGTCGTTATAGCTTACTTTTCTCTTCGTACATCCATATCGATTTCGCAATGTAATTTTTAGTTGCTCTTTCTCGATCGTTAGTCTTCTTTCGGTCTGTGTCAAATTTGTCCATCTTGTTTATAAGCTAATCGTATTAATATTGCTACAGTTTCCGTAAATGATTTCGATATTATTGTGTTCAGTACTATATATTATCTGGTCTCGGATTCTCTTTGTTACTCTCTTGCGCGATCTCGCAGTCCTCCACTCTCTAAGCTGCTACCTTTTGCGGCTATTCAATTTTTGCTCGACTCTCCTACATGATCTCCGTCGTGCTCCTGTTATCGCTGTGCAATGTTCGGCTTTTCCGCGCCTGTGTCCTGTCTCATAATCATTTCATATCCTATTGTCTGCCATTGTTTTTAGCTGCTTCATTTGCCCGTTCCTTTTCTTCTACGCCTCGCTCTTTTTTTTTCTAGTTCTATTTATGTTCTCTGTGTCTCGTCGTACCATATCTCCGCGTCGCTACATTGTCTCTTCGTGCTTTTTTTTTGCGTTTAATATGCGCCAACAATCTCACTATGAAGACGGTCTCGGCCACTTACACACAGTGTTTGTCTGCTACCTTCCTCTGTCTTTCTTTTTATTGTTTCGATCTTTTGCCTGCTTCATTCTGGAAGACACAGGAAACATCAGAAGGCGTGGGTCCGCCCAAAAAGGTGGTAGACCGCACAGCCGCTGGTTGCTTACCCGTGTCCGACTTTTTTGCTTTTTGACAATGTTCCTTCGTTTCACTTGCATCTGCTGTCCCTTTTTGTATTTAAACCTGCCATTATACACTCAACACTTTGTTGTCGTAAATCGACTTGTTCATCATTCTCATTATTTATTGATAGAGCAGAAACGAATGGGCTAGGGACAGTCCTGGAAAGAAACGAGGTTTGTCAGACACCTAGAAGCAGAGGTACAATCATCCAATAGGCGGAGCGAATCAGGGTAGTGGTTTGGATTAGTTGTAATAGGAATAAAAAATGTTCAAAAAGGAAAAAATCGACTTATATTTTGTACTTTCTACGCTTTACGCATATCGAACGAAGCCCGTCTGATGACGCCTCATACCTTCAACTCATATGCCCAAACATCTTGCAAGTCTTCCTCTAAAACAGGCCATTTAAGTTTTTCTTTATAAAGTGTTTACGAGGATGTTTGTCTAAGGCGAGTAGTTGAGGTCGAATGGTTATTAAGAAATTTTGGCTGGCAAATAACAAGACTTGATAGATATTAAATTCTATTTCGAAATTAATCAACAGCTAGCTTTATCTACGCCCGTTTTAATGATGAGTGCAAAGGCATCCTATAGGCTTTTCCTGTGTAATATCAATAGCTCCGTCTTTCTTATCTTATTACCAAGTCAACACTTTCACTGCATTGGACCAAAGCACGTCGACCAGCAGTTATCGTAGTAATTATCACCATAATAATAATAAATAATTAATAAAAATGCCTCTGTAAAGTCTCACTTTGGGGTCGGTTGTGGTCGGGTTGGGGCATTGCGTAACAATGGACTTAAAACTGAAATTGCTTAAGAATTAATGGGGTTAGAAATCAAGGCCAACAATCTTAATCGATTCTATTGGCAAATTTCACTTATCAGACATCTCTTTATAATTACTTTTAACCAATGAAAGTAACAGCAAATAGCAGGTCAGCTCAGCTAGGCTGACAGCTGTTGATGCTCTCTTGATATAGGCCGTTTTCCTTAAATGTTGACAAATATCGTAATCCAAGATTCGATGCCAGTTGTTTGGAAAATTTTACGGATCATTTTAGTAATCAGCAAGTAAAACGCCATACTTCTTGTTCGAATGTTATAGGTAAATAGCGGTCTAGAGTTCAACCTGATAACGAAAAGATATCAAAAAATCTGATGAAGCGACTGATTAGATTAATTCTCAACATCTAATGTTGATAGCCCCAAAAATCAAAACATATCCGACCATTTTTGTTATGTTATATAAAGATTGGGCACCGTTTGTAGCATAGTACCTAATCCTACGCGCGGACTTGCGAGCCCTGGTAGAGCCCCAGACTCACAGGGGCCACGAATACGTCTTCTCCGAACCTAGTAGGACCCCCTTATAAAGTCTTTGGCCCCACCCTGTTAATAGGCCCTGCCTACATTCTTGAATATGCCGATTAACCAACCACATGTGGTTGATAGCAGGCGACTAATAATAGCACTCGCCAAGTTATCTTTCTGTCATTATATATATATATATATATATATATATATATATATAATGCATTTTATCCATCTAATTCTCGATACTGATATCCCCAGCGTCTGTCATAGTTCGGCTCGATGGCCGTCTTTCCTTCGGTTTATATTCATATATATATATATATATATATATATATATATATATATATATATATATATATTTTTATTATAATTTTTTGCGCAACTTATAACTCTTTTTCTCTCTCTCTCTCTCTTTCGCATTTTTTTCTCTTTTCTCTCACTTAGGTATTTGTTTTATATATATATACGCGTAAGTCGATCTGTCACTGTTTATTTATCAATACGGTTTTGTTATTGTCAGCCTATCTTGCGTGTTTTTCATGCGGTCTTTGCATTTAAGAATGCTACCAATG